TACAATCTGTCGTCAGACCTGTGGGTCTGGCCCGCTGGGATCTGCACGTCCCGCCCGCGGGGGATCGGGGCCGGAGAACGGGGAGCCCGTCCCGAGCCGCCGAGGGATTTCGAGGTCACCGCGTTCTCCCCACAGAGCTTTGGGAGCTGGACGCGTGCTGGGGCCCAGATGTCCAGCTCCCAAAGCTTCCGCTTCTGTATTTTGCTTCCAAAACGTGGGAAGTGGGATTTAGCAGAAACCCTCCTTTTTGTTCTTCTGCGCAGCAGCGCCCTCGACTGTCGGGTCTGGGCCGTGGGACCAGAGGAGGAGAGAGAGGCCAGGGCGGCCGTCGCGGTCGTCATGGAGACGGCAGCAGCCGAAACCCTTCAGGAGGAAGAGGTGGCAGCCTCGGTGTGGTGCTCTTGCGCCACCTGCCGACAGATGCGCCTCGTTGCAGCTCCCGAACGCTCCAGTCCTTCGAGCTAGAGATGCATTGAATCCACCCGAGGAAATCCGCATTCTTACTAGTGTAGGCTACCATTTTGTTGGACCAAGTAACTTTTATTTTCATCTGTTAAAATAATATATGACCATAGCAGGAGGCAGGATTCTGGTTTCTTTTTCTTACCTTTGGGTAATGCTTTAGAATATAGAAAGATGACGCACATTTTTAAGGTTTTTGATGTTGCTGTTTTTCAGAAAATAGGATCATCTTAAAGGCACTGAAAGGATTTATAAAGGGAAACAGGTCGCCAGGCATGGTGGCACACGCCTGTAACAGCACTTGGGAGGCTAGGCAGGATGGTCACTGTGAGTTCCAGGCCAGTCTGGGCTACATAGTGAGTTGAAGGCCAGTCTGAATTAGGTAGGGAGACCCTAAGAGGGGGAAGAGAGAGAAGAGAAGAGGAGAGAAGAGAAGAGAAGAGAAGAGAAGAGAAGAGAAGAGAAGAGAAGAGAAGAAGAGAAGAGAAGGAGGAGGAAGAGGAGGAAGAGGAAGAGGAGGAGGAGGAGGAGAAAGAAGAGGAGGGGAGGGGAGAGAGGGAGAGGGGAGGGGGAGGGAGAGAGAAGGAGGGAGAAACAGTATAGGAGTAAGTCACATTTGCAAACACCAAAGCAGGGAGCTCCAGGAGTATTACACAGAGGGTGGGAAACAAGGGAGAGGGGAGGGGGAAAGGAAAAGTAAAAAAATACAAAAAGAATGAAAACATGGAAACAAAGCTTTTGTAAATGGGAGGGGAGGAGGGACTGAAGGGAGGGTCGGGGAACAAGGAAAATGAACTAAGTTGTATCATGTACAGGTACAAATTCTCTGTGATGAATGCGGTCATTGTGTGTATCTAAAATGCACCAATAAATCTGATTAAAAAATAGAGAGGTCCTTATGTCCTTCCCTGGAGGATTGAGGAGACACTATCAGGAGCAGGTTATTCATATATCCTTTGACTCAGTAATCCAACTTTAAGAATTTGCCCCCAGTTGGAACTGAATCAGCTTGCCCTGCCACTGAGCTACATCCCCAGTCCTTTTTATTTTATTTTGACATAGGCCTTGCTAAATTGCCCAGGCTGGCCTCAAACTTGCAATATTTCTGCCTCAGCCTCCAGAGTAGCTAGGATTATAACCATGCATCACCACACCTGCCTTCAAGAATTCTATTACAAGAAATAAATGCAAAATGTGAACAAGTACTATGTGTGGGTCATATTCCTCATAAGGTTGCTTAATGTTCACCAACAGAAGAAGAGGTAAAGTCATGGCTCATTTACAATGAGGAGTATTACAAAGACAGAATGCCTTAGTTACTTTTCTCCTTGCTGCAATGAAACACCTGACGTCCAAAGTTAGAGGAGAAAAGGTTTTCTGTAGCTCACAATTCGTAGGCGTTTCCGTCCATATTTAGCTGGCTCTAAGTCTCGGTGGCTTGTCAGAGGGCATCGCAGAGTGGGCAGTGTCAGCAGAAGACAAGCAGCAGCGATGGAAGCCACGGCAGCAAGCAGTGGCACCAGCCCTCTTTCTAGCCCTTATATTCCATCCGGGCTGCCGGCCCTTAAGGTGAGTGGCACTGACACCCCGGGAGGGGTGCTATTAATCCCAGCATCACACACCATAGATCCAGCCACCCCCAAAAGCCCCACCTATGACCACAAGAGGCTTTGGGAGGACATTTAGATATAAGCCATAGCAAAGAACTGTTTTAATATAACTGTTTAAATATAACTGTTTTAATACATGCAGTAATATGAAAAAATGATGCCCCAGAACAGCAGGGGCAAACCTATGGCACGTGTGTCACAGCCAACTGTGTTATCACTGAAAGCTCTAAAGGGTTTGCCATCTCTGGCCCAGAAGATGCAAAATATTTATACATATGATATCAAATAAAGCTGGAAAATACTAAAAATAATATAGCTGAGTTAGAGAGGTGGTGTTAGAGTCTAGTACAGTTAGAATGCTATGTGTACTGATAGTTTTGACTCATTACACAATGCATACAGGAATGCTTTCTTGTTGTGGTACATTTAAATGTCACAGATATACTACAAATAATATCACAGACATATGACATTTTGAAAATGACCGGTCTGCGTTATTTAAATGTACTACAGCAAGAAAGCGTTCCTGTATTCATTACTTTAAGTCAGTCAAGAACATTAGCACATACGACACTCTAACTGTAGGAGACTCTAACCCCTCCTCTCACTCACGGGGAAGGTGCCGCTCGTTCTGTTCCCCTGCCCCGTTCATCTATTCCCGCACCAATGCCGCTATTCACATGATTTTGTTTAGTGTCGTAGCATGTTCTGAAGGCAATGAGTCCGCTCCTACTGCTCTCCTAGATACAAACTCTTCAAGGCAATTCTTGTACAATTCTAGGAACTTAAGGCCAGTTGATCACGCTCTAACTTGTTTTTGAGAATTATGACTGAGAAATTATTACCGTATCGGTAACTTTCCACGCGTGGATGAAAGATCTGAGAGAAAGTGCTGTGACTGACGGAGTGGGGATCCTGGGGACGGGCAGGGAGGACTCGGTGAACTTGTCACATGTCAACCCAGCGCATTGTGAACACACACAGTGCCATGGAGAATACAAGAGAAGCTGGAATGATTTTGACAGGTGACCCACCTGCCCAAGTCCTAACACCCCAGCCCCCAAATGCCGGGTACCTGCTCCAGTCAGCCTACCCTTGCCTTACCTTTCCATACCTGCCTGCTTTACCTTGGCTATTCTGTAAGGCAGGTGAGGCGAGGATAGGCTGACTGAGGCTGGCATTTTTGATCTCTAGTTTTCAAAGCTGATTACTTTGCAGTCAGGTCTTATTTGGGGGAACCACGGTGTTTGTTGTTTTCCTTGAAGTGACAGCTCCTTTCTCCAATCAAAAGAACCCCTGCGGCTGTCCAAGTTAGGTTGGTTTCCTCCCCGCCCCATGGGTATCCAATCTCCCCATGTTCTTTATTTACAAGCTTGTACCATCACTTCCGCCCACGTGCTATCTTTGCCTTAAATAAAGTGTCTATCTGTATGCGCCTGGGTTTGTTTTTGTACTTACCATTCTCTTAGCTTTGTCTACTGGTCTCTTTGCAGTAGGGATTTATTTTCTTTTTTTTAAAAGAAGGATCCTTTTCATATCGTATTCTCAGGGGTCATTTTTCCTCTTAAATGTGTGAATGGTATGAAAACATTTACCAAATGTTTTCTGCACATGTATTGAGATCCTCCTATAACATTTTTAGTCAGTGAATGTGGTGAAATGCGTTCACTGATTTTCACATGTTGAACCAGCCTTGCATTCTGGCTAATCTTTAAAGAAAAGGGGTTTATTTAGCTCCAGGTCCTGGAAGGCCAACAGCATTGGGCTGGTGTCTGCTTGGCATCTGGTGAAGGCCTCCTGCAGGGCTGGAAATGGCCTGGCAGGGCAAGGGCACCACATGAGGAGGTGAGCAGTGGTGCCAGAGGGAGCAACCTTTGTAACAAAGCCACTGTTGTGGTGACCCATTAACCCACAGGACCACCAACCTGTAGACAGACAGGTACCCCTAACACCCGTGGTGGGGATTCCATTGCAGTGTAAATGTTGGTGGGGACATTGACATCACAACAGCCTGAAATCTGTTTCCCAAATTATCCTTTTCATGTGTGACTTTGGCTTCTCTGGGATCCTTGGAATTATCTCACTTCCCCCGTTATCTTTGTGGTTACCCTGGAACACAGCATGTATTCTCACCAGCTCGGGGTCAGCTGTCAATTCATTGCTTCTTGGCTTCAAATCTACTTTGTGCTGCCTGTTATAGGAGACTGAATCTTTCTCCTTGCCAACTGGGACAGAGGTAAAGTATGTACATAGAGGGCTCCAGAGGGGCGCCAGATGAAGGAGGAATTTCTCCTGAGGACTACAGTACCACCTGCCTGCTGTGTTCCAGAAGCACAGGGTGCCTCCAGGTTGGCTCCTGAATTGTGAGCTGAGCAGGAGCATGCAGCGGCTGGCAGCTTCCCTGACGCCCTCTTGCGTGACTTCACCCTAAGACTGTGCACCCGCGAGGCACCTCCTAGTGAAGGGCTTGCCCAGCAGCTCCAGGGTGGCTTTGAACAGTGGAACTGGCAGAAGCCTATGGAAGGAAACCAGCTCCTAACAGCAAGATTACCTTTCTGGGTTCCTTCCACTCTCAGTCTTGGCAGCAGCAGAGGAGGCAGGAAGTGGCCAGACCCTGGGTACATTTTGAAGGTGGAGAGGACAGGATTTGCTGACATAGTGAGATGGGAGTGCAAAGTTGAAAGGGTGATTTGAGTAATGGAAGGGAGAGAGCAGATCCGAGAGGAGGGAGCAGGTAGTGAGGGGTGCACAGGAGGAAGCGGAAAAGGGAAAAAGGAATACAAGGACATCGAGGGATGCTGGGTCCAAGAGTTGAGGTCCTGCTGATGCCTAGGGGTGGCTGGGGTCCAACACTAGCAGGAGAGGACACCAAAAGTAACATGAGAACAGATAGGACTGCTGCAGAAAAAGCAAATTCTTATTTTAAAATAATTTTTAAAAAATTATTTATTCACAGATCATATACATTTGAACACACAGTATATTCTGTGGGTATACTTCACATTCTTGGTAATTGAATAATTTACAGTACAGGGTAAATCACAAAATATCATTCTTCCATTCCAAGCATTTCTATTTGTATAAAGTATGAGGTAAGCCAGAGTAATCAAACGTTACTGGTATTGATGTTAATCAATAGGAGAGAATCAGCTTTTCAATGACCAAGTATGACAACAGGGATTTAAAGGGGCAGATTGTACCAGCAGATTCTTGTGTCTTCATCATTAAAGAGGTAGGTTGTATAATTGGAAGACAGACGTGATGTGTGCTAATCAGTAGTGTGTTCTAGAATAATAACATGTGAATCACAAACCTAGTTGACAATCATGTTTTCTTAAGAACGGAACTCTATGTCCTAAATGATCATATGAATATCATAAACTACAGAGAAAAAATGGCAAATCAGTTGCCTACTTCAACCATTGAAATAATGGTTTGTATTTTTTTAAAGATTTCAGAAGAGGGAGTTACTCTTTTTTTAAAGATACAGATCTTTAATTTTCCATTGATTGCAAAAGATGTTTATCTGCCAAACCCATTTTATGATTAGTGTTATATCTTTTACTAACCAAAGAGCTACCTAACTATTACAACTAATAAGCTGTGTTGAATGACAAGTTTTATAACTGAATCGAAAGCCTTTCAGGCATAATGAAATGTGTCCTCTCAGGGCAGCCTCTGCAGCCTCAGTTTGGTAAACATGTGTTTCAACAAAGCTTTCTGCAAAGCTGAGAACAGTCTAGGAACCTTTCTAGTGTGACTATTTTCATGGGCCCTATTTGTGGAACGGATCCATTCAACAGAACGAAAGATCTGTTTTTATGTTCATCTCGATCTCACCTCTTCTTAGCCCATCCTTCAGCCTCACGTTGCTCTATTGCTTCCCTTTCTTCTGTTTCCTTTCTAACTCATCACCTGCTCTCCTTCCTCTTGGCTTTTATTTTCATCCTCATCCTGGAAGTTTTTTCTTTCCTGTTTTTTCCGTAGGTGGATTCAATTCACCTCACCTTTCGTTGTAATGTGTTTTACACACAGAGCTTGTTCCTGTTGGTTTCATTAATTCTTTTCACAGAGAATTTGGTGCCGAATAGTGTGTGTGTGTGTGTGTGTGTGTGTGTGTGTGTGTCCTGGGGGTGGAATCCAGGGAAGTGCACATGCTAAGTACATGCTCTACCCCCAAGTTACACCCCCATCCCCGGTAAAATGTCTTGGAATGTGCTGTGTAGTTATCCACAACTGTGAGACGTGCAGACATCTCACCTAGGCACCATGTGGTCACTCACTGATATCATAAAGCAGCCTCTTTGGCATAAAGTTCTTGGATTGAAGTGAAGCACCAGTAAAGTCTTGAATATTCCATGTTGTCTGGTAGCCCTGTGAAAGATATGACTCATGAGCAACAGCGTGGGTCTCGTTTTTGTCCTTTTCATTTCTTACTGCTTTGGGGCACGTTTTTCTATCTACTGTCTATTTCAAGCTATATAGATGCTTTAAGGAAAGGGAGAATAGAGCTGGAATATGACTCTGAGTCCTTGCAAGTCACCACTGGCTGTCTGTGGGTCCCGTACTGTCTGCTCAGTTCGTGAGCTCGCCAAGGTTAGCATCTCTTGTCCACTTACCATGTGCCAGGTTCCACACCTGTGACAACTGTGACCTGCCCAAGGTCACATGGTGGCTAACAGAGCCAGAACTGTAACTGTGGAAGTCAGCCCCAAGTGTGGCATGCTGACCATGCCTTGTTGCCCGCTTAATGAAGCTACTTCCACATGGACACATGGACCTCCGCTCTGCTAGCCCACCACTTAGACACAGGCACCGTGAAGCCACCCTCTCCTGGAACTGCTCCATCGCTGAGACCTTGGACTCTGTGCTCCACCTGCTGCCTCTTTAGCTTTTCTGCCTCTTCTTTTTACAGCTGCTGACTGTGCCCAGCATCTGGGCCTCTGCATGGTTCCCTTGCATGCCCTGTCCTGGTGTCTGCCTACCCAACACCACCACCATTTCTTGCCATGCCAGGAAGCTGTGCCTTGGCTCACACTCACCCTGCATTTTCTGTCTTTTAGCTTCACCTGCCCTTTCTGTCTGCAGTAATCTACCTATCACCTTTGCAGTTTACAAAATCTTTACTCAACCTTTAAGCCACTCACCAGCCCCATCCCTTTCCCTGGAAATTTTCTCCACCATGCTCCTCCTGGTCATCACAAAACACTAGAGGCATTCTTCTCTGCTGAGTATTCCCAACAGTTTGTATAAGCACAGTGCTCATGACAGTGAGCCTTGTAATGCAGCCATGGGTAAATGTCCTTAGCATTCCCTATGGCTCAAAATCACAACCCGGAAGATCCAGCATACTGAGCTAGACTTCAGTATGAAACAAAGAGGAAAGTCACACTGGTCACAGAAGACCGGAACTTGTTCCCTTCATCCTTGAATGGATATTATCAGTAAAATCATGGGTATGCTAGGCACTGTGCTGAGGGCTAGGGCTGCCCAGGGCACAGACTCAAAGAAAACCAGCATCTAATGGGAGAGATCAGTAACACCATATTATTACAGTGGGGTGTGAAGAGATAGCCATTTGGGAAATAAATGAACATAACATGTAAGTGCATAAGTCAAGGAATTTAGTCTTTGCAGTGCTATTCTATGGTCCTTTAAATGCACGCATGTGAAAACGGGTCTTGTCATTCACTCACAAACCATATCTCAATCCTTAGGAAGAAGGAATGTCAAATCTGCTCTGCACCTAACAAGCTGATCCATCAGTCCAGGAAAGGAAAGTAGTACATTGGAAATGGGGAGGGGATGCTTTCCATCTCATTGTCTGTAGTTTCTCTGTCTTGCATTTTTGTTGCTGCTTTTCCTCATGTGGTCAGGATTTCGTTCTGAACTCTCACTGGCAACTGGAACCATTTCTGCTTTGCTTGTTATTTGGCTGCATGCTCCCTTCAACCAGACCACAGCTTCTATGCACTCTGGAGTGGATGTACTTACGCTCTGTTTCATTTACTTGTTTTTAAATTTCAGTGTTCCTGTAATGAGCCCCACCCCCAAGTCAGGTTCTAGGACTGGTGTGGTCACAGGAGGCACGGCAGGGTAGTACCCAGCCCACAGTACTCCTTACCTGGGAGCCCCAGTGCTGCTCTAGCCACAGTGCACGAGGAACAACCTCCAGTTGGGGGGTGTTAAGGGGAGTTTTATTTGAAAATGATTCCAAAACCTGTGAGAGACAGAAAGCAGGGAAACATGTTTCAGAAATATCTATGCCTGTATTTTTTCCAGGCTCTTTTTAGTACCTGGTACACAGCTCTCTCTGTAACAGTGTTTCTGAAAGCTTGTATCTGTTCACATAGCTTAGCATTTTTAGGGCACTGAGCACAGTCCCTGAGAACATGATGACTGGGTCTTGTCTTCTTTATAATAGCATGAACCCAGCTTTAAAAAATTCTCATTGGGGAAAAAAAAATCTAGATTTATAGGCTGCACACAAAAGCATTAGGACCTGGCATTAATGAGGGAACAGGTAAGTGTGTGCTCTCAGAGAGGGAAGGGGAACTGGCTTCCTGAAGGATGATGTGAGGGTCCTGCATCTAGCACCAACATCCCCAGCTCCCAGGAGTTCACGCTAAGGAAATCCATAAGAAAATGTGCAAGAGACACCTCCATATCCATTTGCCTAGTCACTGTCTCAAGTACAAAAAGCTAGAAGCAACTTAAGGTCAGCAAGATCGGTTAAGTGGAGCCTGAATATTGTTGTGGTGTTGGGTAGGCAGACATTAAAAATATGATGTGGGAAAATAGAATTATGTGGGAGATTATTATGATAAACATGCTGGTATAAAAGTATGTGCAGCATTGTCCTATTTTTATGAAAAAAGTACCTATGTATGTGATTGTAAAAAGAAAATGAAGAACGAGGCAGATATCAAAGTATACGTTTGGGTGATGAGATTATTTGTGATTTTACTGTTTGTACTTACAAATATTTTTTCAAAGTTTCTAGAGTGGATATATGTTATTTTTATAATGAAAGAAAGCTTAGTAAACTCACAAATCGTATTTTAAGAGCAACAAGAATAAATAGAGCTGTGACTACTTCCCGGGATTTACTAGGGCACCCTCTTCTGTTTATGACTGTTATCAAAGCACAGTGTAACAAGACAGTCTTCAGTGGCACTGATACCCTGGAAGTTTCTAAGATGAATTACTTTCATAAAAAAATCTCCAGAATTCCTAAAAGTTGTCACATTCTTTTTTCTTTTCTTTCTTTCTTTCTTTTTTTTTTTTCCAGAACAAGAAGTCAGGTGTATGCTCAACTAAAAATGAACAAAACTTGGGATATTTTTTTTTTTGCTGTTGAAATGTTTGCAGTAACAAGCACCTGTCTAGCAAGCACAAGGTACTGAGTTCAGTTTCCAGTACCAAAAAGAAAAAAGAAAAGAAAAGAAATGTTTGCAGTTGACCTGTGTGTCTCAACCAAGGGATAGTGAAGAGAGATTGAGGAGTAAATATCCTTATTTGGATCACATTTGAAATGTTTGAGATGGAGTTATAGAACATCTGTACTGGGACTGCATTAAAAAATCATAGCGATAACAATGCTGTCCCTCTATATTATTATTTTTGTTTTATTGAAAACAAATATAGCCAGAGAAATGCTGATGCACCTGGTAGTAGGCTGGGAAGACACTTGCATTTAAATGTCACCAGGCACGGGTAGAGGGTGGGGCAGGAAGTAGAGTCACCTCAGGGTGGGTAGAGGGTGCGGCAGGAACAGATGAGGTTTCCTGGGAGGGCTGGGTGGGGTTATTTATTTCATATTTTATATAATTTTGCATCTTTAAAACTTTTAAAGCTGGGCGTGGTGGCATACAGCACTCAGGCTGGAGGATCACCACAAGTTCCAGGCCAGCAAGTTCCACTGGGCAACACAGTGAGTTTGAGGCCAGCCTGAACTATATAGCAAGACCCTGTTTCAAAAAAATACAAAGCAAAACAAACAAAAAAGCACAACTTTTTAAGTATAATTTTAAAACATTCAAAGGGAAATAAATTTTAAAAATAAATTTAATGAATGCTTGTAATTACAAGCTCAGGACAGATGCCAGACAGTGGGTTTTTCTGAGCTGTTTTAAATAGCTGGAATTTTAACATTAAATACCTACACATGTCAGTAGATCTGTGGTAATGATGAGTAGTCAACATTAATCACTCTCCTTGGGTGATTATTTTGCAAATATAAAAATGGAAATTGCCATCTCTGAGCTTTCACTTTAAGTACTCCAAATAGGATCATAAACTTATACAGTTTGAAGCAGAAATTCAGTGGGCCATTTCTAGAAAGCAACTAGCCCTCCAAGGTTATGTTCAGGGTTGGGCACAGGTAACATGTGACACAGGACACCACTATAATTCGGTGATCGTGTCTTTGGCACATAAATGTCCTCCTCATTCTTAGCAAACACACCCTTTCCTTCCCTCTACCAATGCCCTTGCCTTTCCTGTACCAAACACCACTTCCAGAGGTGATCAGGAACACATTTCACATGAAGCTATACATGACCCTTTTAAATCTTGTCCTTTGCTAATAAGGTTTACTTTTCAAAAAGCTAACAAAGGAATGAAGCTCAAATGGGGGACTCTCACGTATCTGACAGGACTTGGGGGCACAGGCTGTCACTGACTGCTTATGTACACCTGAGCAACCTCTGCAGTGGCCCAGGCAGGAAAAGATGTTCTCTGACTCACAGGTGATGGTATATGTCAGGATCCCGCTGGAGGCGCGTCTGGAATCCTATGTACAAGTCATCCCAGAGCAGACCGTTCTTCACCACGTACCTCATGACGTCAACCCGGCTCCGAATCTGAAACAGACAGGGAACAATTTGCAGGGTGTCCCGTTCTGGCGGGGCCTGGGGGTGACAGGAAGCACACAGCATGGGCTGAGGGAGAAGGCAGACCTCAAGCTGAGCAGAAATCAAGGGAAGGAAAGCGGGGTGGACAGCAGCCCTGAGCCACAGTGCCTCCACGCAGAGTCTGGCATCACATGGCAGCTTCAGACCCAGGTTCTCCCTGGGTGACTTTGCTAACCGTGCCTCAGTTTCTTCCTGTGTAAAATGAAGATAATAAGAAAACAGGCCTTACTGAATGACTGTGAGGGTTAAGTGAGTGAATGTGTATAAAATACTTTAAAAGAGGCTTGGCGCACAGTAAGTGTTCAATAAATGTCTGCTGACATCAATGTTCCACAGGTGGAGGCAGAGCAGAGCCTGAGATCTGAAGGCAGCCTGGGTGTGTCCAGTCTGCACCAACAGGAGCCCCAGAAATCAGGTGGTCAAGGCGGCACCCCCCCGAAACCCCCACTGTGGACATGGAGCTATCAGACAGTCAAAGGAGTGTAGGATTAGAGACCGGCAAAACGAGGACTTAATCTCAGCTGTGTGCTAATTAACTAAGTGCGAACTTGCACTTACTACACCTTTTTTTCTCTGTTAGGGGACTACTGTGAACAGGGGGAATTTAGAAAACCTGAAAGGATGGTATTCAGCCTACGATTAGACATGGTTTTAACAACCTATCAGTGCCCGTGTTCAGGTTTACAGGAGTTTTCTTAGTACCTGCTTCGTATCTCTTTTTTCCTGGTAAATATCGCACTGATGGCAGGAGAGGCAAACTTTCAGAAATGACAGGTTGTTTGTTCAAAGACAAAGAATGATTAAAAGATTACTATTTGGCATTTCTTTCCCTTTCCCAAACAATTCCTATAAGGCAAACATAGCTATTGTAAAGCAAAGGTACCCCATAGGACAGAAGATGGGTACTTTTGCCAGTGGAGCTTCAAAAACATGATTCCCTGGCTGGAAGACTGAGGATAAGGTCTGTCTGCAGGGATGCAGTATCTGGATAACCTTCTTCTCTCTCTGTGTGTGTGTGTGTGTGTATGCGTGTGTGTAGGGGACTTTCTTGACCTCTAATCTAGAGAGTAACACTGAGAGAATTGGGAATAGAGTCACAAAATACTTCAGATGTGAAAGGAGGTCATGTTGGCTGATTAGATTTGAGGAAAAAGAAAAAGGGAAAAATTGAAGATTACACCCCTGCTTCTGGCTTGGCTGACTTGGGGAATGACGCTGCCAACAATCAGACAGGAAAGGGGGCTGACCGGTTTTGGAGGAGGAAGATGAGGGGCTGGAGTTGGAACAGGTGGAAACGAGGTGCCCCGGGCTGTGTCCGGCAGGCTGTAAAGCCTGAGCATCGTGGAGGGAGCCGGGGAGAAGCCCTGGCTGCATGTGCAGAGTGTTGAAGTTGTTAGCAGAGAAATGATGCTAGCGGATGTGTCCCCCAGGAAGAGAATGAGCAAAACCAGTCTGAGCACAGAATTCTGAAGGGACATTAAAGTAGCTGGGGAAGAGGGTCTCTGATAAAAATGGTGAGGAATGGCCGGGAGAAATGGAATACAAGGGTGTATTGTCACCTATGCTAAGAAGTGGCCTCGGGGTTCAAAATGATGGACAGATACCACACTTGACCTGTGTCCTGTATGTCCCAGATCTCAGCAGAATGGTGACAAAGCAGTCATGCAGATGTAAACTGCTGTAGTGAGAAAAATGGGCAGGGAGTCATTGACAGGAGATTGCGAGTAGTTAAGTGAATCGGAAAGCAGGTTGACAGTGCCTGGAGAGGCAGGTCTGGGCTATAGCATGCAGAGAAATGGGGATGGATGGACCGTGGGTGACAGCAGAGACAGACAAATGTAAAGTACATCCAGGAACAGATGGCCTCGCCTCAGCCCCACGCACATTTCCCTGCTGAATGTATCCAGACATTTCTGCGAATGAATGGATTCAGCGCTGGGAGAGGACAGGGCAGCTGGCGCATTGGTGGTGCTTGTAGCAAGGGCGTCCGTGTTTCACACTTAGGGGTCCCCTGGCCTACTAGTGGGCTCCTCACTTTCCTAAGTTAAGGCATTCAGGTGACCCCCAGACTCAGTACAATCTGGCTCTTGTTTTGTAGTCTATAGACCTGATAACAACTTGAAGTAGTGTCAGCCTAATGCTGAGTATTTCACATGGAAATCTAGGTTTCCGCATTCTCTGGAAAACCAGAACAGGGGTGGGGATATAGCTCAGGGGCATAAGCGCCTGCCTGGCAAGTGCAAGGTGGTGAGTTCGATCTCTGGTACCGGAAAAAAAAGAAAAAAAAAAGAAAACCGATCAGTAGGAGCTCATCCGGGCTGCCCTTCAGCATTCCTCCCCACCTGTCTCAGCCCCACCAGCTTCACTTGTCTTTGAGATCCACAACAAGCTACTCTGTAAACACGTTTCCCCCAGAATCAGACCGGAAAACAAACTTCAGCTGTAATTAACAGCTGGTGTTACCATGGCAATGGCCAGTGTTGGCAGAAGATCATGCCTCACTATTCTCTTGCTCAGTGGCCACTCTGTAATGACAGGTAAGGCAGGGATAGGCTGCATTTTTTTCTGTAGTTACATAAGTATTGTAGATGTATGACCCTTGCCTTCAAGGAAAACTCCTTGGGAGTGCAAAAGTCTTTTTATTGGGAAAGAAGGATGAATCGTTTGGTTTTAAAGTCACCAACAAAGGAAGAAGGATCAGTGTGGCATCAATGCTCCTTTGAACAGCATTAATGGCAACGGAAGCCACAGAAGCAAGGTGTCCAGGGATGAGGACTGGTTTCTGAATCACAGGCCCAGCCAAGCTGTCAGTGATGCAGGGATCAAGACACTGGAAGCTTGGCTCCTGCACCCCACCTCTCAGGCTGTTGGTGAAGCAGAAAGTCCCCAAAAGGGGTGAAGCAAGGAATGGGAAGAGGTGGCAGGGTCTGGAGGCAGTGACGGGGCAGGTACGCAGCAGAGGCTTGCTTGAGGCCAGGCATCTGAAGGCAGCCTGGGCAGCACAGTGAGACGCCACCTCAGAAAAAAGTGCAAACCTATTCATCATCTATATTGTACTTCACACAGGGGTTTTATGTAAAATCTCAATTTTCTAAGATCCATAAGTCAAGTAGTAAATTACTGGTTTTACTGAAATTCCAACAACATTCTCCTCAATAGCAAGTACTGTACTAAACATAAAAATACAAGTGAACTTATTAAAATGTATTTTAAGAAGACTCCTATTATGTCTGTTATAAAAACCCTCTAAAATGGGTTCTGACACATTTAAGTGCCACAAACAATAAACTGAAGTGTAGACTTTATGTCCTTGACTCTAATGATTCTTATGGAGTTTACATTTGCAATATTTGCTCACACGCATCATGTGTCTAATCCAACACACTGGGAATCAGCCCAAGAGGAGGAAAAAAACTAAGGCTCAGGCAGGTTGAATAGCTCATTTAAAACCTTGTGAGCAGCAGTCACAGCCAGCAGGGCCAGGACACCAGTCCCCATCTTAGCTCTGTCTCTAAAACTGTGCCCCTGCCCTGGACATCAGGCCGCCACAGTTGGCTTTATCCAACACACATCATGAAAAGCTGTGAGGAAGTGACACTTCTTCAGATATTTGAAATGGCCTGTTTCAAATATTTTAAATGCTGACTTAACTCTCCTTATAGAGACATGGGTAGGTTCACTTGGGGAAGGAGACGGTATTGGGCAGATGCCAAGGAAGGCAGAGGTGGATGTTCTAGGTTTAGCAGCAGATGAGGCTAAGCTGGTGTTTGGGAGAAGCTGAGTACGGAAGGCAGTTTTCACAAACAACTCAGAGACAAGCGTGGACTTCAGTTAGCAACAGGGCTTCAGTGTGGTCTGTTAGTTGTGACAAACACAGTAGTAAAGTAAGGTGTGAGCGATGCTCTGTGCTCTCTTTGGAACTTCTCTGGAAGGAAGGAAAGAGAGACAGAAGGGGCAAGGAAGGGAGGTAGGGAGAGAATGAGGGAAGGCAGGAGAGGGGGAGAGGAGACGGAAGTGAGAGAGGAAGGGAGGGAGGGAAAGCAAAGAGCCTCCCTCTCCCTGGCTGCTGCTTACCTCTTCGTAGGCATGCTCCCGGCTGGGTCTTTCTTTCGGAAAGGATAAATCTAGAAAGTCAACCAAGTAGTCGTAGCCTCCAGGAAAAGCGTTGAAGTCCTCGTCCGTCTCAATCATCTATACAAATGACAACATGATAAATGGAAGAAGGGTATCAGTGAGGGGGTCAAGGTCTTTAAGTCTAAGACTGTGAGACCTAAATGTTCCTAAAGGACGGCAATGAGTTGCAAGTTAATTTTGAACCGTCTGTCTCTCCTTTTCTCCCTCTGCTCCCTTCTGCATAGTCCTTGATTTTCAAGGAGGGACCGTTGATCACATTGTCGAGGTCTGTTCTCTGCTAGCCGTTTTGTAGGGCTTTATGAAAGCTCCATGAGACACAAATTGGAAAACACATGGAGACTTTCCTATACTTCCATAAAACAGAAAGAAGGAACAAATATTCATCTGCATACCCTGATCACCAGGTTATAATTCTTAAATCCAGCCCAAGTGAAATATTCTTTTATCCAGGATGAGTGAAGGAAGATTTCGTCTTCTACAGCAGCTTTCAGGGTGTTCAGATACGGCCCAAAATCCCAAGAATCCTTGTAAATCTTAGTCCCTTCAGGAGGCTCTATAATGCCCTTGCTTAAAGACATAAGGGTGAGAAAACAGGAAAAGAAAAATGCAACAAGTAATGAAACCAAAGGTTAGCACTTACACAGCAAAGGTCAATAGACTGGTGGCTTTAAGGTGCTAACACGATCCCAGGGGCCCCACACTGGCCTCAGCCTCAGAGGGGGTCCTGTACATGGTTGAGTCATGCATTTCTAAGCCAGATTTCACTTGAAGAAAAGAAGTTCATATCTGGGGAAAATTGCCACTCCTCTGGACCTCTTTGGTCCAAATAACTAAATTATGGAAATGTTGAATGGAATTTGGTTGCGTTAACTTTGTGTCTCCACACTCCTGCCTCCCCAGCAGATTAGAATAAGGTCTGATGAAAGCAACAACTATGACTGAGCATACAGCATCGGCTCATAAGTATCTGTTGAATATGTGAATGCCTTTCACCAGTCTTTGAGATGTATGTAGAATATTGTGTCTGGAATAGTTGGTGCTCTCATGGTACTAATGCAGAACTGACAGACAGGAGTGGTTTTTATCTCGAAATCGAGCCAGCAATGTGGGTGGCTGAGCTCTCCCACAGGCCTGAAGCTCTGTACATCCTATGTGAGGATGGAGCTCTGCCTGGAACATGGACTTCTGAATCCTGAGCGTAGCACAGGATGGGGCCTGGACAGGGCAGACACAAGCAGGGAAGTAGGCACCTGTCTAGTAAAGACATGTCAGCAAGGCAGAGTCCCTCTTCTCAAAAGAACACATTCAACCAGCTGTGTGCCCAGAGCTACAGAGGGACTGGTTTCTGTAACAAGTCCTTTACCAAATCCTAAGACTTCTCACGTCTTTGTGGGTCTCAAACCTTTCCCGGTCCTTGAGGGTCATAGCTCAGAGCCTCACTGGCCTCTTCCTGAACAAAGCTGCCTCCTCCTGACTCCAACTGTCCCACGCTGCTGCCTCTTCCCCAGTGCATTCTCCTCTGCAAAGCCCAAGTGGCTTTTCTAAAACACAGCCCAGAAATGCTCTTCTTTGCGTTACAACTTTCTGAGCTCCCCTTACTCCCAGGACCAGTTCCTCGAGTGGCTCATGAGGCCTTTCCGCCCCTGCTCAGTGCGGCATTCCTGTCACATCCCTTTCCTCTGCCTTTGCTCTCCAGCCCTGCACTTGGGCACAGAGTGGCTTCGGGACAGGAAGGCCTTTTCCAGCTGTATCTCCTGCACCTAGAGCTATGCTCAGTGTACAGAAGGAGCTCAATAAATCACCTAAACCAACAGCATACGTTCATTCACTCATTCAAATACTCACATTCGCCAAATCCATGATGCTATTTATATCTCTTTCCCCAGCACAAGCCTCCCCCTCTGAGCGGGCTCCCTTCCTTGTTCTCTGGTCCTTTCACCTGCAGCCTCCTTCTCGTCTCTGGGACCTGGCTAAGTTCAGGAGATTCTGGACTGAGCTTTTCTGTGTCCTCTTCCCTCGCAAGGCAGGTAAATGCACAATCTCGGTGTGTCCCTGCACTGTGCGCTGGTGCTACAACGCAACAAAGGTGGTTCTGGTTTCCCAGCATGCACTGGTGTGTCAGAAGGACACAAATGCAGATCTTGAGTTCGGCCTTGGATCGACTGACCGAGTCTCTGAGAGAAGCCTGAAGGTCTGCACTTGTGAAAGCCCTGCCCATTGTTCTGGTAGTCACAGACTGCCAGGATGACGACTATAGGATAGATCGGGAGGGCAGGAAACAGGGTTTTGGAGAATTACACCAATCTCTTGAAGGCTCACTCATCACAGAAATGATTAAAAACATTTTTCACTCTTAACCTGCAGGCACTGGGGGATCTAAAAGAATCTGAGTCCAGATAGGCAAAGGAATAGTTTTAAAATTTAGAAAACAACCTTGTTAAATGCAACGTGCTCAGGTATTTTCTATTCTATTGTTTTTCAGTTCATTTTAATGAATTGCTCGTTGTGAGCAGTGACTTTGACGGTGTGGTCTGTCCATGACTGTGAGCTGCAGACCGACAACGGCCAGGATGGAGCTGGCCCGGGCGAGTCGGGAGGAGGCGCACATGGTCAGAGGCCACTGCAGGATGCGGGCGAGAACTGGAGGAGGTGGAGTTGAGGCCCAGGCGGAGAGGAGTGAAGGACTTGAGAAAGATTTGTGGAGGAGAATCAAGCAGGTCTGATAATGAGTTTGCTATGAGAAGTTAGCAGATGGGGTCCATGTCAATAAGGAGAGGTGAGGCCGGGAAAGGGCGTGCACTGTGTGGCAATGTGTTTGGTTCATGCCTAACCAAGGTGAGGAAATGGCTCCATTTGGCTCGACACAAATAATTAAAAAAACGTGGAGGACACCAATGTGAATTTGTCTTGAATTGCATTCCCAGTGCAGTCTGACCCATTCAAATGTACTATTCATGGAAATGGCAGTTGGCGATGTTTGCACTGGTGTGAGAACTTTCTTACTGTTTTTTACTTACGTGTACTTTTTGCTTACATGTACTTGCATGTACTTTTGAGCTGTATCAATGGCCCTTAATATATATAGAAAACAACTTACTCTTTACTCTCTAGTAAGGTTCAGAGATGAGGAGTTTTCCTGATCTCAGATCATTTGAGTAATTATTATATAGGATGAAAAGCTTGGGGGAAAAAACTGTTTCACTCTAGATTTGAAAGAGATTTATTAGATAGCTTATTTTATTGAAATAGTAAGACTTCTATTTAATAACCTGATGGGTGGGTCTTTCTGAGTAAGAAGTTTAGTATACTACTTGACAAAATTTAAAATTACTGCAAAATAGGGACCTGGCAAGAGACAAGAGGTAAGCCCTCTATTTTCTTATAATATTATAAATATTCATATAGCATTTTTATCTTCTACAAGAGTGTAAACCAAACCTGTCTGTGGGGTCCTTCAGCATCCTGCCTAGGTCAAGGGTGGCTCCAGGTCGAGGGGTCCATGTGACAATATCTGAGTTTTTCCTGATAAGATTGTTGAGCTGATTTGGGTCATTTTTGATGTTTGTTTCCTTAATGTACCTGAGAAATAAGAATAATCCCATGTAAGAAAATTTGTTCTCTGAGGCCTGCTCTGATGACTATGATGCCAGAACTTTTTATTTTCTCTAAATTCCACTTCCCAACCCCCGTCCACTCACACCATGAAGAATAAAGACCATATGTTATACTTTGATGTGGCTCAAAGATACAAACACAATTTCCTGTGCTGCATTTGAGCTAAAGTTCTCAGTCAGAAAAATTACAGACAAAGAAGTCACACAGATATTTTGTTTCTAAGTGTAATCACATAGTGACTGGAATCAACATGAAATGTCAAAAGACTGCTATAAATAGCAAGAAATTGTACTCTTGTATTTAATATTAAACATATCGACTGATTAAATATTATTGGGGACCATTATACAAAGGTCTTAACATGAACACATTGCTTTTATTTCACAAGTGTGTCATGACACATCTGCTACTACGGTGCACATGCTAAAAGAAGGAAACTAAGGCTTAGAGACCAGGTGCCTTGCCAGAGGCCACCCCACTGGGAGGCAGTTCAGCCCCAGCTCTTTACCGGCCCGGGGCTCAACCTTCACAGGAGGTCAGAGGTAGGGGCCCTGTCCCAACTTTGGAAGTCAGTCTGAGAATTCTCTGTGCTCAAAACCATGAAAAATGTAGCTGTTATAGGGGGCTGGGGATTTAGCTCAGCGGCAAAGCGCCTGCCTGGCAAGCGCAAGGTCGTGAGTTCGGTTCCCGGTACCAGAGAAAAACCAAAACCAAAACAAACAAACAAACAAAAAATGTACCTGTTATAAAAGAACACACATAATCCTTTTTGAGATTTAATTTTTAACTGTGCTACTAATCAGAGGTAGTTGTCTCCCAAACAACCACCTTTCTCACAAAGCTGTAACATGTCCATTTCAATGTCATACTGTCAGGTGAATCAGGTGGGTAGGGACAGAAAAAGAGAGAACCAAAGAAGATAGATTTGTCAGTTTATCTGGAGAGACAGGGCTAGGGATATAGTTCAGTATCACAAGTGCCTGCCTGCAAGTGCAAGGTCTGAGTTCGATTCCCGGTACCAAAAAAAAAATATCCAGAGAGACATTTCTATTAAAGGCAATTCTGCTTCCTTAGCCTACAGTTTAGTTTCCCAGACTTAATATTTTTGGTCAGATAGACAAAACACACAATGTGCAATCAAAATATATGGTAAGCGTAGAAATTTTTTAAAAGTTTACTTCAGTAACAGACATATTTGCTATTAATCCTCCTCAGAATATGCCCTCTAACTTCAAACATACTTATTCCATTATTATTGTCACTTTCTGAAGAAGTTCTGCAAGTCCTCTTTCCTATCTTTACAATATGTGATAAAAAATACGGTCAATGCTGCTGCTAAGTGCCATCGTACAAAAAAGGTAGCTCAGAAAAACATTACAGTGTGTCCTCATGCACCTTATTCACTGGCTCTGGCACCATGAAACTTCTGGTTCTTCCCTGTGGTCAAACTGACCATGAAAGGTAAATATTTTAAATCCATTCAGAGCACTGAGGCTACCAGGAGATTGCAACTAAAGACACTCACAAAAGAGAACTTCCAGACTGCTTCAGAAAGCAGTAAGGATGATGAGATAAGTGTGTTGGAAGTGTGAGGGGGATTAATAGCAATGTGTCTTTTACTATAATCATTCTCTAAATTTAAACATTCACCATAGTTTTCTGCCACACCTCAAACATAAATATTTGTATTTCTATAGCACTACGTGAGATACAGTACTCATGACTTGGAATTAATTTTGCAGACACAAGTAAAGACATTGTCATTGCACACAAAAACGTTGGTGTCTTTTCCCTCCCCACTCACATTACTCTCCTCCAGTTATTGCAGCACTTCGTTTAAAGCAGTGCCACTACTTTTTCTCATCTTCTTATTACTGTCACCCTCAGAATGGTCACTACCGACCTGGTCATTCTGCATCTGACTGCCCCTTCTGGAGTCATGTCACTGTCAATTACTCTTCTTAAAGCATACTCTGTGGTGTTCACAAAGGTCCACAATTTCTTGATTCTGTCTCTTTCTCTAAATACTATCAATATCTCAATGCCATGCTCTGAAGGGTATGTAGGTACCAAGGGCAACATTGCCAACTACTCACACATAGATATCTGGCTTTTAATGACTTTCAAAGGCTGCATCATGCTAAGATTTTAAGTGTTCCATAGAGAAGTGCCCTTCTCCTCCAATTCATCTTCCAGTCTTTGCAACCTCACCACCTCAGTCTTGCTTTTACCTGAATTCTCTTCCCACTTCCTGCTGCCATTCCACTTCCTGCCTAGGTTATGGTAATGGTTTTCAACTGGTCTCCAGGATCAAATGAATTTTTCCTTTCCCACCACATGGATGTACAATCTACTATCCCCAGTGCACATTTAATTGTGTCATGTCCCTCACTGGAATCCTTTTTTTTTGTTGGGGGGTGTTTCCCGGGAGTCAAACTCACGACCTCATGCTTGCCATGGAAGGTGCCATGCCACTGAGCTATATCCCTGGCAATCACTGGAATCCTAGATCTGGCTTCTCAGTCCATTGGGATAAGACCCAAAGCCCAGGCATTATGGGTACCGAGTTCCTCTCTGGTTCACTGCCCTTTCTCTTTGCTCTTCATACCCTGTCCCTTGTGCTGAACTCTACTCTCTCAGCTAAACATCCTTCCATCTTTGCAGGTTAGTCCTATTCATAGTTCTCTAAGCCTCACCCAGTAGTCATTTTCTCACCCAATCTGCTTCCCCTTGCATGCCATAACTCAGCACCCAGTGTTATAGTTGTTTTGCTTTTCTAGGAAACCATAACCCAAAAGACAATCATTTTCTGTGTAGTGTCTCAGTGCTTAGCACAGTGCCACTCCATGAATGATAAATGAATGGATAAGGAACAGTAGCAACTGAAAGAAATTATTTCTTTACTCTTGGGTCAATCTTACTGAAGAAAAATTGGAATATGTGAGACAACTAGTTAATATCAACCAGAAGATTAAAAGGAAGGAAATAAATCTGCAATAATCAATTACACACATGTAGCTACATGATGAGAGAATATAGAATAACTTCAACATGATGAGCTGTGTTCTCCTGAGAAGAACAATGAAGTCCAAGGATTTCAGATGATTAGCCCCAATAAATGGTAACAGGAACAGAACTAAATTCTAGGTAGATCGCTCATCTTACTGCATTGCTACAATCTAGTGAACAGGAAGTGATATGCTATCTTTACATAGTCATTGTCATAAAAACTTACCTCACAGTTTGATTTCTTTATTAACCAGTGCATTCAGGTTAATACAGAGAAATATGCTCATTTAACAAGATGACACACACATCCCCTATCTACACACAGCCCATGGGCATCATCACAGGGGTCTCTGTGGAGCAGATGCCACTTGCTAATAAAAGCATTATAGATGGGGAATGAGTCACCAAATAAATCCTATATCTAAACATTGAAATCTTATAAAAGCAGACCTTAAACATCTATAAGATTTTTCTTAGCACCTAAAACAATAAAATTAGGCTCCAAATACTACACAGTGCATAGATACATTTATGTATTTTCTCAAAAGATTCTGAATTCCGTGAAATGTGCATATGACAAAATTTGATCATATCACAAATGTGACTTAAATATGCTTGATTTAACTACCATGGCTTAAGCTATTCTTTAAGGATAATTCTGTTTCAGAATGAACATAAAATGATGAAAAATGATGGTCTAGTTAAATGGAATCTGAAAGCAAGCAGGAGTAGCTATACTTATATCCAACAAAACAGAGTTTGAGGCACAATTAAGTAAGAAGACACAAAGGTCTCTATATACTTATAAAGGAAATAATCTATCCAGAAGATATAACCATTGTAAGTATATATGAACTTAATATCAGAACATCCAATTTAAACGCTACAGAACATAAAGGGATAGGACCCAATCTAGCAGTATTGGGTGATATCAATTTCCCACCCTTGCTAGTAGATAGAACTTTCACATACACAAAAATGAAACATCAGTGTCAAATTACACTATAGGTCAGTGAACTTAACAAATGTCTATAGAATATTTCATCTGAGAGCTACAAAATATACATTTTTCATCAGTTCAAAGAAATTTCTCCAAAATAAAGCATACTTTAGGACATAAAACAAATCTTGATAAAGAAAAAAGTAGAATAATTTCACACATATTATCAGATCATTACTGAATAAACTAGAAACTGACAGAAACCTCAAAAAATATACAAATACACAAAGATTGAATAATACACTTTTGAATGAGCAGTGTGTCTTTGAAGAAATTAGGGGGGAAATTTATAAATTTATAGAATGAATCAAATAGAAACACAATCTAGCAGAGGCAATTGGACACAGCAAAAGCAGTTATAAGAGGAAAGTTTATAGATATAGGTGTCTACATTTGAAAAAAAAGAGAGATCTCAAATAACTAAATGATACATTTCAAGGCCTCAGGAAAAAATAAAAACCACAAATCAGTAGAAGAAAGAAATAAAGATCAGACCAGAAAGAAATGGAGAAAAACAGAAGAGGGAAACACTTCCTTACTTTATTTGGCCAGTTAAACCAGATAACAAATTCTGATATCTCAAGTAAAAGCACTTCTTTTCAATTTTAGTTTAGTGCATGGTGAAAGACATGGGTCTAGTTTTAGTCTTTGGCATGTGGAATGACAGTTTTCCTAGAACCATTTATTAAAGAGGCTATCTTCCTTCCAGTGAATGTGTTTGGCTCTGTTGTCAAAGATAAGGTGGGTGAATGGGTTTGCAGTTGTTTCTGTGTCTTCTAGTCTATTCCATTGATCCTTAGGTCTTTTTGCCAGTACCATGCTGTTTTTATCACAGTAGCTTTGAAGTATAATTTCAAGTTAGGAATTATAATGCCCTCTGCCTTGCATTTATTACCAAGAATTGTTTTGCTATTCTAGGCCTCTTCTGGTTCCAAATGAATTTTAAGAATGTTTT